TTTACCCTTAGTGAACCTAATTTTCTCTTCTCTTAGCCTTTTTAGGCGTCGAACTCGGTCAGCTAGCTGTGCCATATCTCTGAGATATTGGGTATCTAATTTCTCTCTGATGGAATAATCTAGACCCCCTGCAGCCATTTCGACTAGTTCATGCTTTGGCACTTGCGTGAAGCACCTGGCTTTAAGAAGTCGAAACCTATTCAAGTAATCGTTCATTGGCTCAGTGCCCTTATGTTTGATACTAACCAATTCTTTCAGACTAATCTTAATTTGCCCCATATAGAACTGTTCATGAAACAAACGCTCCAATTGGGCCCAATTATAAACTGAATTAAGAGGCAGAGTAGTGAACCATGTAAAAGCATTTTTTGTGAGAGAACTTGGGAAGTATTTGACTCTAAGACTTTCGTCTCCAGCTATGTCTCCTGCTTCGATCATATACCTAGCCACATGTTCGACGGTTGACTCAGTAGTATCCCCTACAAACTTACTGAATTTTGGAACCTTCGTCCTATGAGGTAATTCAGCCTGCAAAATATAATCCAATATAGGTGAAGTATAATTAGGCCTTGTAAAGCCAAAGTTTGCTCCATTTTTGGTCATTACTCTTTCGACCATAGCTGCAAGGCTGTTTTCTTCTGTTGTATCATGACGTCGAACTTGTCTAAGTATTTGGTCAGCATTCTGATTCCTATTCACCATGACTACTCTTGGTTCTTCCTCCATATGGGCTGGTACCTAATTCCTTTGTGGTTCGAATCTGAAAGGTTTGCCCATTTCATGATCCTCCATATTCGCCTCGTGAATGCTCTGTTGCTGATACCGTGGAACATTCTCGACAACTGTTGCTCTTTGCTCAAATGCTGGTACTCTTATAAAATCAGCCATACGGGCTAATTGTGTCGCCACCTACTGGTTGGTTTGAGTAGTATTCTGAATTAGAGGTTGAAAGATTTCTCCCATCATCTGAGACAACGTGTGCACCATTTGCATATTACTTTCATCCATTTGCTGCCTTAAGTAGTTTATAGATGTAGTTGTAAGACTATGTGCTTGCCCAGAGTACCCAACACCTATGCTCTGGTTGTTTCGACCACCTGATTCAAATCCTTGTACTGGCGAAGAGACCACGTTTTTTAAAAATATGGGTGGAGCATTATGCAAATTCTGCATTATTGACGTAGGCATACCATATGGTTGGTTCCTTAGTAATGGTTGTGAGAAACCTGGAGGGGGAATTTTACTGTACATCGAACTTCCCGGAGGTGTTAGGGAATTAGGACTTTGTGGTCCTATATATTCCAACACAGGTTGAGTGTACGTTCGTACACACGTTGATCCTGGACTGGCCATAGGCTGCATTTGTTCAGACACAACCGTTGATGGTGGTGTCTGTCCTCCTATCGAAGAGACTGGGTATGGAGTATTCTGAGACCCCATACTGGACTGAGTGTTTGAAATGCTTCCTTGAGGATCAACTTGTTGATTGGCACTTGTTGGCATTCTCTTAGTGTATCTTTGTTTTGGTACTTCTTCGTGTTTTGTGGCTAACTTTCCACTCCTTAATAACATACAATGAAGTATTCGCCCAAACGATTAATGTAAACTTGGAAATGCTTAGAACTGGGTCCCACCAGGTGTGCCAATTTTTTTACTGTGAATTTTGGTAAACAACCATTGGTCTATCAATTTAGGGTAAAATTGACTAACTTGCAGGATCGACCATACTAAATCCTAGAACATGTGCTAAGTATGTAAAAGACCCTAAGCTGAACTCCACGTTCGACTATGAAATCTTTTGGAAAGTAAGATGACTTGAAGATTAAAAGCAATAAGTAAAAGAAAGCATGTAATGCATCGAAGATTAAAAGGTAAGAATGTAAAGTGCAATAATGTAAAGGCTTTGAAACGTAAATGACTTTGAAAATAACTGCAGTATAAAGTAAATGGGCAAAAGATCATAATCTGAACTCCGCGTTCGACTATAGAATCTCTGAAAGTAAAAGACTTGAAATTAAATAACTTTGAAATTAAAGGTGCAAAAGACTCTAATCTGAACTCCACGTTCGACTTTGAAATATTTGGAAGTTAAATTGCAGGAAAATAAATAACTTTGAAAATAAATGGGCGAAAGGTTAAAAGTGTAGAAAAGTTAAATTGCATAAAAACTCTAATCTGAACTCCATGTTCGACTAGGGGATCTTTGAAGGTAAATGCGCAAAAAAAGCTTGTAAAATGGTTTAAATGTAAAAACTGAAAGTTAAAGTGCAGAATGAGTAAAGGCGCATAAAGGGTAAAGGCAAGTAAATTGCATTAATGGAAAAGGGTTGGTGTTGTATCACATACATTCTCGCTAACTCGTTTCTCTACACGCGGGTACTTTGAGTTGTTTGGAGTGACTAGTATAAAATGAATGAACGCTCTTATTACATAAGAATAACAACTATTTATAGTACTAGAAAGTAACTACTAAATGACGGTTGAGGCTTTACAACGTGTCCCTTTTGGCGCTTTTTCCACTATCTCAACCGTTCCCACGTTCGTCCACTCTTGGTTTGAATTTTGAACACTTAATATTTCCCTCCAATTTTGGCTGTAACTTCTGTGCATTCTCTTCAGCGTGGCCCTTGTCGAGCACTTTCCAACACTTAGCATTTTTTTAGTAGCTTTGTCTACCTCTCTTCGACTTGGATTGCTCCCTGATTGTGTCGAAAGGTTCACATGTTTCAAATTGACATTTTGACTTGAGGTGATTTTGAATTCAACTAGCGTCGAAAATTGAGAGCTAACAGAAATATGAAATGCACTGTACCAAAACCTAACGGGAGAATAAGCTGAATCCTGATAATTATCAACCACGAGACACCATGAACTTGACGTAATTTTGACGACCTGACCCTCATACCAACTGAATTGAAATGACACAAACCCTAACCGAAAACTCAAACCCACGTCACTTGGATCAATTTAACTCAAGCCTTGATCTTGAAACAAAACTTGTCTGATTGACATATTAAGTCAACCTTGAACTCCAATACATGCTGCACTTATCCCTGGTCTGATGAACTTCAGCAGCAATTTAATTTGATTAAATTCAACCTCATGATAGATACAACACACCTCTTTTTTTGTATTTTTGGATGATAGTTAGTGGACGGACGTACAAAATGAAAACTATCCACAGGTAGGACAAATTTGGGGTATGACACTCTCTAAACTCTTTGTCTCTCTTTACTTTTAGTCTTTTACGTTCCTCAATATTTCCTTTTTTCCATTTTTTGTTTGTATGTATATCTGCCTTTTAACTTTACAAATACAAATTGATGTTTTAAGTAATTAAGTTTAAATTAATCATAATTTTTTAATGCTACAATTCATCTTCTCTCTTGAGTTTGGAGTCATTTGTTCAATAAATGTAGTCTCTCTTAAATTTTGAATAGCCTTTTCTGCTAAGGTCTGTGAGTTCTGTTGATGAACATTAGATTATTTACTTCTTACACATGGAAGTTAGCTTGTATCACCTGAAAGTTGATGAACATTTCTTTTCCAGGTATGACAGACGGGGTGGAGGTCTGAGTGAAGGCTCACTTAGGTGAAATTGTCACGCAGATTCAAGGAACAGAAGAGTTGGAGTACTCCCTGCTTTGCACTAGGTTGAACAAGATCTTTTTGCGAAGGAAAGAACGAAGATATTACTAAGACTTGATCATCTATTATTTAAGAAAGAGGCGACGAATATTTGGCAGCTACAACAACAACGACGATAACTTACCGATGAACGACAAAGCAAGTGACTTTGGATGCTGCCATAGTGGATGAATTTGAGTGTAGATCCGGTGGAAAGGAAGTTAGAATTCGAGGAAAGTGATCCGAATAAAAATCTGTACTCTGAATGGAGATCTAGACTTTGAAATGAGTTGGAACTAGATTTTCATTCCCACATACGACACTAATGTTTGATTGTAGAACAAAATTTGATTGATAACCAATAAGTCAAAGCTAATTATGGTGATCCTAAACTTTCGACGAAAGAGTTGACCTGCAAAATTAACAATACAACGCTCAAATTAAAATTAAAGTGAAAATTGATGTTAATTCACAATGTACTAAAATACTTAGAAAATGACATGCTTTCCCTCTAAAAAAAGTGTTGCTATTAGGTGAAATTGGAAAATTGAAGTGTTACTCTTGACAAACACTTTCTTAGTTGTCGTATTTGTTTTTGTATGGAGTAGGATGGCACGTGGGAAAAGTGAGTTAGGCGTGTGCCAAACATACGCAAGCGCATGTCCATTGTGATGGAATGTTGATTTTGTTGAACGTGGACCTAACAACATCACTCACTAATCAAATTGGAGGACTCTATTTTCACCACCACTCTCACTAATATTATGAATTGTAATAACTATTTTAAGAAAACTTAGCTTTTTCATAGTAATTCTAGAGTTAGATTCATAAATATTGATGATTAAGATAATGATTATAACAAACACTAAAATGTGTTTCGGGTACATGTTAAAACTTTAATATAAAAATGTTTTTCTTAATTGTGCATTACTTTTATTCAAAATTTATGATTAATTAATTATTTATTTATTCAACACAAACTTCCTATTTCTAAATAAATAATAATATGAAAAATATCATCTTTAATATTAGTTTAATATTAGTGAACTAAGTTCTAAAAAAATGTTGTAGTGAGAAAATTTAATGACTAATCGAGTTTTGATAAAATTATTTAGAACTAAATGTAAAGGAGATTTAAGTAATAAAATAAAAAATAAAATAATTTATTAAAAAATTGACAAAAAAATATTTTAAACCTAAAATATAATTCAAATGTATTTTAATTTCATATTGGACAACAATGTGGATTATGATTAGTTTTTAAAATTAAAAAAAGAAAAAAAGAGAAATAAAATTGTAGGGTTTGGGAACCTTAGTTAAAGGAAAGAAAAGTTGTTTGTGCAGTACTTTGGAAAATAGATAGAGATAGAAGCATGGATAGGCTTCTATCGTCTTCTTCACCCCCTTCTCTCAAAACCCTCAAACCTTTCCCTTTCTTCCATCGACCTTTCCAATATGCATCAAGTTTCAATCTTTCTCCCTCTACCCGTTCTTTCTTCACACCAATTTCATGCAACCGCCAAAATCCATCTCCATTATCATCCTCGTCTTCCTTACAACCCAATCACTTCCCAACCCTTTCTTCATCTTCTTCTGATAATTCTCTCACTCACATCGCAATTGGAGCTTTCCAGAAACCAAAGGTATTGTATTTTTTTCTCATCAAAGTCTGTTTTTTTATTTGTTATATGTTTCATGAGAAAAATTCATTTCATTAATTGAATTAGGGTTTTTTTTTTTTTTTTGAATTTGAGATCTGTATGTCTTTTACAATTCAATCATTTGGTTATTCTATTCTGAAGTAAGGAATTTACTTTAGAGGGAAAGTGTAGGGATTTAGGTAGGACCTTTTATATTTAAACAATTTCATATTATATGATATTCATTTTCTGATCTCAGCAGTGGATTTTTCAATGGACATAGCATCTGATTCCTTTCCTTTATATAACTAAATCCAAAATGATTGAAAGGTGAAGGATATTCGGTAGAAACTTAAATTCCATATTATATTTCTATTGAATTTAATTTAACAGTTTTGTTGCTGATTGAATCTTAACCCTGCTTTGGAACTAGGGCTTATTGTGAGATTCTCACAGGCTTTGTATTTTTTTTTTTAACTCCTTAATTAACTTTGATTTTTAATTAAATAGTCTTGCTTATGAATCATGAGGATTAACGTGGGTTTTTCATACATGTTCCTGAATAGAAATTTGATGTATGAAAAGTTCAATTAGAGGATTATACTGATGTATGTAGGTGACTTTGACGTTTCAATTTATCTTCTGATGTGTGTGATATTCCATTCTTCACTTTGATTTTGTCTTACCTTTGAAAATTCCAGTGCTTAATACGTTTTTGAAAAATTGTTATGCGTTTTGTCTCAGGCAACAACAGCTCGGACTCTTGTAATTCTCTCTGCTGTTTTAGCGATCTTAATTCAACCTGCTATTGTACCAGCAGCCCTTGCAACGTTTCAGACGGCTGCCGGAGGTCCTGCTACTGCTGCAGTTGGGGGAAAATTAATCCGCACTGAGCTTTTAAGTAGTGCTTGGACTGGTTTTTTCGCTGGCTGCTTGCACACTTTATCAGGGCCGGACCACCTTGCTGCTTTGGCTCCTTTATCTATTGGTCGCACTAGATTGGAGAGTGCTGCAGTAGGAGCCCTTTGGGGTTGTGGTCATGATGCTGGTCAACTTATCTTTGGCTTAATATTTTTAATATTGAAGGATCGACTTCACATTGAAATCATCCGAACTTGGGGCACGAGAGTGGTTGGTTTAACCCTGCTAGTAATTGGTGCTATGGGAATTAAAGAAGCTTCAGAAGCAGCTGCCCCGTGTGTTGCCTTAGAAAACGGAGAATGTGATGTGGGCGTCTATGAATCACTTAATAATCCATCACCACGAAAGAAGAAGATTGGTTTTGCTACATTTGCGACAGGAATAGTTCATGGACTGCAACCAGATGCATTGATGATGGTCTTGCCTGCCCTTGCTTTGCCTTCTCGTTTGGCCGGTGCTGCATTTCTATCGATGTTCTTAGTAGGAACTGTAGTTGCTATGGGAGGTTATACAGTGTTTATAGGTTCATGTAGCCAGGCACTAAAGGATAGAGTACCTAGAATAACAGAGAAGCTGACTTGGGCTTCTTCCCTTATCGCAATAGCCCTCGGATTTGCCATCATTATTAGCCAGTTTTTTGGGTTTACACTCTACTAATACATCTTCAATCTGCAAGGTACCTTTTATTTACAAACACGGTTCGGGTCAAGAAAAAGTAGAGATATTAGGGAGAACTTTGTTTAGATTAAGTTCATGTGAAATTGTTTCTTATTGATTATTTGATTTTGCTTTTGATTGTCTATAGTTGTATGTTAAATGATTCTGCAGCCGAGAACCACGTAAGTATTTATCGATTTGATTTTAGTTTATCTATGTTTAAATGAGAGGATCCAAGTCCTTAATAATTCAAAAACTTTTTTGACAATTTAATTTGAAGTTAGACTTCATTTTATTGACTTTTCTTAACCTCCCTCCCCACCCTCCTCAACTGCCACCTAGCTTGACTCTGACTTGGTCATCGATGTTAACATTGCCAAGTTTGCTAATTGCTACCACCCTCTTCTACTCTAACATCATTATTATCTCTCTTCAAAAGTCATCGGTTTGGAAAACCAGTATGCATCATGCATGCCATGAATTGTGATATGATTCAGTGTTCAAATCCAAGCAGAGAAACTCTGTGATCTTTGAGGCAGATTTGTCCAACCTATGGTCCGAATGTCATGTAGACTATAGTCATCACATGGGTGGTAGCTGTATCAAGATTAAACAAATATCCTTTTTATTTTAAGCTTTTTGACAAATCACATTTAATTCATGGCAGAATATAGATGCATCACTAATTGAAGTAAGGGAGTCATTGTCACTAGTTACAAGTCTGGCATCCTATGGCAGACATTACTTTTCCCACTCCACTCTTAAGGGTATATTTAGATGGGTGGAATGAGATGGAATGGAATAGAGTGGTAACTAATGAGATTTTATTGATTGGATTTGCAAATAATGGATGAAATGAAATGGAACATGATGAAATTCATTCCATCAAAATCTCTATTCACAGTTTTAATAAAATAGTCAAATAATGGAATGAGACATTTTTAATAAAATAGTCAAATAATGGAATGAGATTTATATTCTATTCCGTTATATTTATTCCGCCATGTTTATGTTTTGTTTCACTTCTCTCCGTTATGTTTCATCACATAGCTTTAGTGGTGAGGAAATATTATAGAAATTTAATATATATATTTTAAATTTTAGAAGAACATTGGATGCACTTATTTTACACTACGCATTTTAATGAGATACATTCTTATTTTTTTTCAAAAGTGTATCTACAGACAAATTCTTTCAATAATTTTGTTACTTTAGCAATTCAATGACAAGTGACAAATACGGAAGTATAGTTTTGGATTTTTCAAGTGAAAATTTGAAAATAAAATTTCACATTGCATTAAATTTCAAAAGTGCATTTTTGAAAATCTCAAACGGGAAATCTAATAAGATATCTCATTGCATGTTTGCTTCACTTATGATCATTCCACAATTTCTTTCTTCAAACCCTACCAAAACTTTCTTACACATTCGATCAACTTTTCTACTTCAAAATAATATTTCTCTATTTTTTTATATCAAAAGAAGTTGGAGTTTAAGGTAATGTATATGTATTTTCTTCCTTATTACTTATAGTGCACTTTGATGTTGTCCCCAAATTTATTGTGTCTACGGATGCTAAACTTGTTAATGTCAAGCTAGATGTTGGCAAACAATTTACAAATAAGCATGAGTTTGTTGTTTATGATCATATGATCTAATGGGTCCACACGGAGGCTGTCAAATTTGGGTTCGACGTTGTGATCAGAAGGTCAGATAATGGTTCAGATAAAAGACAAACATTTGTGACACTGAGATGCGAAATGAGTGTTTATGATCATATGATCTAATGGGTCCACACGGAGGCTGTCAAATTTGGGTTCGACGTTGTGATCAGAAGGTCAGATAATGGTTCAGATAAAAGACAAACATTTGTGACACTGAGATGCGAAATGAGTGATAAGTACATAAATACTATTCAAAAGCTAAAACGGAATGATACATGTTCAAGAAAATGTGAGTGCCATTTTAAGTTGTGTGAATACCTTATGGTAAATAATATATAGAAATTTAATGTGATTTGTGATATACATAATTATGACGTGTGTCGCAAGTTATCTGACCATTCCATTTCACATCGCCTTAAGGTTGAAGAGAAGTAAATCGTTTCTGACATGACAGTGAATATTATGTAGTCGAAAAATATACTTGTAACTTTGAAAAGAAAAAGACCTCAAAATATCTAAAATATCAAGCAAGTATATAATATTAGCGTCCAAAACAACAAGACGATAAGAGTGGATATAACTTAAATGTAACAATTGTTAAAGCTTTTGGATGATAATCATTATGTATCTAGGTACAAAGTGTGCGGGAATGGAGAAATCGTTAGAGATATATTTTGGACTCATCTTGATTCCATAAAGTTGTTCAACACATTTTTTAATGTATTAATACAGATTCAACATATAAGACCAATAATTACAGACTTTCATTATTGAAATTTTTTTACGTTACTTCTACGGAAAAGACTTCTTCGGTTGAATTTGCATTTTTGAAAACTGGAACAGATGACAATGTTACTTGAGTTTTAAAAGCCTGTCAGATTATGTTGAAGGATCGAGAAGACACACCAAAGTTCATTGTCACCGATCGCGATACTGCACTTATGAATTCGATTGCAAATGTGTTTCTTACATCATATGTATTATTTTGTGGGCATCACATAACAAAAACTGTGAGAAGTAAACTTAAGCTTACACTAGGGACTAAACAAATCTTGGGTGAAGTTGGAAAAATGGTCAAAGCTAATGTGATATTGGAAAGTATAATCTTATAATAAATTCTTCTATGAAAGAGTTGTATGCTGATTCTGGAGAAAATTATTTGTGCTTGAACCGATTAGGTTAGAAACTTTGAAAATGCAACAAATAACTGATTTGAATTTATCCATGCTACATTGAAGAATTGGTTAGGAAATAGTAAAAGTGATTTATGTAATGATTAGGACTCTATGAATCAAATGATCCAAAATCAGCATTATGAGATACATATATCATTTGGTTGCAGTATTATAATGTTAGAACACAGATACAGAGACAACAATCTCTATTCACAATTGTTGGGTAATATATCTCAAGTGGCATCAAATTTTATTTATCATAAACTTAAACGAGTTGAGAAAGTAGGTTTAGATAACTCAAAGTGTGGTTGTACACTTAGGAAGATGTACAATCTTCCACGTGCTTGTCTAATTACAAATAAGGTAAAATTTGATAGCCCAATACGACTGGTTGAGGTTTACACTCGCTGAAAAAAGCTCTAGTTTGATGATGATGGTATGATGAAGGATGGTAAATCAAATATACCTATTCTGATCGAATGAGAAATGATTCAAGAGAGACTTTTAAAAGCTGAAGACAACATGAAACTCCAGAATGTCTCAATATGCATATCTTGCTTTTGCTTACTTCAACGATGAGAAATTCCCTCTTGAATTTAGGTTCATATCACACATCTTGTCGATCTAAAATTCATACTAGAGAATTTGTATCCAGACAATCAAAGAGTTGTGAACTTTATTATTGTTCCCCATCAATTAACAACTAAGGAATACAACTCAGAAAGTTTGAACTGAAGACTTATGGATATTCAACTCTTACGTGGAGTACATTTTACCGTTATAAAACTAAGGGTCTGTTTGGTTCAAATGAGGGGGAGGGGATGAGAGGGATTTTAATGAAGGGGAGGGGAGGGGAAGAGAGGGATTTTAATTAAAAATGTGTTTGGTTCAGAAGGGGAGGGGAGGAGTTTTATTAATAATTTACATTTTTATCCTTATGATCTTATATAAGTCATATGATATTAAAATGTGAAAAATTCATGCGTATTTTTGTTGGTAATAAAATTTCTAATATTGAGTGATTAAAAAAATATTTATTTGTCACATAAAATTAAAAAATTGAGTACAATTGATTCGACTTATAACTTTTCAACATAAATTAAACTATATGCAAATAACATCGTTTAAATTGTTATGAATCATATAACAAAACAAATATATAAAATAACTTATTATTAAATATTAATTGGTTCAAAATATTTAATAAAATGAATAAACAAAAATAAATAAAATGAATGGTTTACAATTTGATATAAAAGAAAATATGATAAAATACATAACAAAATTAAAAGAAAAAACGAATATAACTAAACATAATTTTTTTTTATAAAAAAAAAAACAATGATTATGATTTATACTAAGTATAGAAATTATAAAATAATTTGAAGGTGGAGAACAATCATAACAATCGAGAAAAAGTAATAACACGAAAGAAAACGAATAGTTTTGAAATACTGAAATTAAACTGAGGATATTTTAGTAAATATAATAATTTTTAAATATCAAAACTCATATTCCCTCTCCTCCCCTCCCCTCCAATGATTTGAACCAAACATATTTAATTAAAAATTTCTCCTCCCCTCCCTTCCATCTATCCCGAACCAAACACACCCTAAAGGTACGATCAAGGTGGATGTGAAGATTGCGAGATCAACTAAAGATATTCTGAAGATGTTGAAACGTCTTCAACCATCACTTGATGATAAAATGTAATGTTAGGTTTAAGTTAACGATTATAAATAATCCATAAGTCGATTTTAGTCCCTACAAAATTTTATTTAAAGTATGGTCCTCCTAAAATTTTATGTGCACACTCTTGATCTATGTCGTCTACTTCCCCTAACGGAAGATGATGTGACACACAACGTTGCATGCCATATCATTTAAAGTCAACATCATAGTTGACTACAAAAAATCGAGTTATATTGCGGGAGTTACAAACCTGCATAAATTCCTTCAAATATGATGAAGTATTTGTTGTTGAAGTTGTAGCCTTTGATGCATGCATAGCTCCAGGTTTCCTTTTTCTTTTGCTATGAGATTTATTACAAAAACAACAGGTTGTTGAAAAAGAAATACATAAAGTATTTGTGCAAATAATGTGTTGATGAATTGAAAGTTATTGGAAAAAAAGGCATTTGTGCAAATGATGTGTTGAAAC